TATATATTATATATTGTACTATATATATATATATTATATATATATATATTATATATATATATATATACATATATACATATATATTATTATATATATATATATATATATATTGTATATATCTTTTATCTCATACCTCTCTGTAACCATTCTTTTAGACCGACATATACGTACAACATTTTATATTATATCCTATCCACGATGCACCATCAATCTAATAAGAACGGGCGGGACCGTCTCGGTGTTGTCCGACCGCTCACTTCTATAGTCGGGCTCGTTAAAGTCTCCCCTCACGCAGGAGGTATATCCCAAAGCTAGAGCATAGACGAAAAAAATCTTCATCGTCATTGTATCGCTGCACCCATCCGGAATTCCCCTTATGTACTGTACGCCAAGCAAGAACGCCCACTGGACATTCTCTAAGCAGCATTCCCATTCGAAGCTCTTCCTTGCATATATAAGTCTTCTATTGTTTGCTGACATACCCGTGTCCAACCTCGCCACCGGTTCTTCTTATAGCGCCAATGCCTCAAAACCCATAGTCGAGACTATTCTTCTTCAATATACAGATCAGTGTGTATATTGTAGTCGCATTACACTGCCAGCATCTATACAATGGCAGAAAGGCATCTGGAATTGGCGCTACAACCCGGTCCGGAGGTCTCCTTCCGTTCCAATTACAAAGGTTTCCTTCGCAAATACCAACGAATTGTACGGTACAATGCTTCATTTCCCTCTTCAGCACGATCGTTTCGTATCAAGCAAAATGATGTTCGAATTATATCTGGAAGTCCTTTATGCAACCGCTCACTAGCTGAAAGTCATGCTCGCAACTTTCGTAGTCACGCTCTGCCAGAAGTGTCCATCCACAACTAACGACAGTGGAAACCTTCAAAGGTATATATCATACATCTGTATAGACAATAACCTAACGTTATATTCACATAAACGTAGAAATTTTATATACGTCGACGCATATATATACACACAAACAGGACTATAAATGAATGTACACGTATATATATATATATATGATCGTATTAATATGTTTGCATGTATATATAGCTACGTATATCGAACACAACAAACTATTGGTGCACAATATTGTACGTAACCACCCAAACAGCAAAGAATATGCCCAGAGCAGGTGCCACGGCCTCATTCATAAACGATTGCTCGCCCCCGAAATCGTTCGCATTCAGACCTCTAAACATAGGCAATCCCAATCCCAGCACCAGAGAGGTCACCAAGTATATCGCAATCGGCACACTCCCTTGCATAGCCGTTATACCGAACACAAGTCCGCATACGACAGCGAGGAGCATACGTGAGTGGAATATAAGGTCCATAAATTCGTCGAGGTCAGGGATGTCATCTACAAGTTGTGTGCTGAGTGTTTCACTGTCTTCCTTGCCAGCCAATTTGGGCGGCCCTTCTGACCGGGTTGCGGTCACCTGACGCCTGGATTTAGGACCCATATTCAAGCTCTAATATGTTAAATCAGGTAATGCGTGTGGTACGTGTGTTTTGGTTGAGTGTTCGATTGCTGTTGGGGTGTGTTTGTAAATAGTGTTGAGCGTGTGATCATTGCGATGTATTTTGTTTTGTTTTTGTTGTTTGTGCATAAGTATTGTATTGGGAAAAGAAAAATTGTCATCGTTTTCTTGTGAAATAACAAAGTGGAGAAAACCCAGTTTCGTTTAAATTTATTATTCCCACCCCCAATATACCGAGCCTTTATATACACCTTCACTACGACTTTCTTCTTGCCTGCCTCAGTTATGGCTAAATTATCACTGAAAGTGAAGCAAGTGACAACTGACAAGAGTAGTATTTATTTTGAAAATATGTAGTTTTATAAAAAGTAGACTAGTCGAGACTGTAGATT